AAGGGATGTTATGCCCACTCCTAAAGGTGAGGGTAACTCAGGTTTTTGTTAATAGATTCCTTGGGGCAGATTAGAGTGAAATGACACTGAATGACCAGTGTTTATTAATATATACATATATGCATATATATATATATATATACACACAAATATATATAATGCAGGTTTGTTGTAGAACAATTTGGTTGCAATGAAAATGAGGTACAGAACCCTTTTAGCTATTATCTATAGAAATTAAACAATATAAAACTATAAAAGAATCATTTAAGGAAATATATACAGAAAAGAAAAGAAGAGGAAAGGATAAGCGAAGATAGTGGAAAGATACCACAACCATGGATCCAGTGACAAGAACTGATTCTTGCAATTTCACTTAGTCAAAGTGATGGCTGGACATTTGATCCATCAGGGGTGAGGGAAGACCAAGAAACATAGATTTCAATGGGTTCAGTATGTTCAGGTTAAGGTGGGGGCTCCCAGGCACCTCCCTGGGGGAAGTTTTACACTGTCTGTTGCAGCACTGGGGATCATGTGCAGTGGTCTGGTGGAAGGCCCAGAAATGAGTCTGGGGGCGCTTTGGGGTCTTTGATGGGTTATGACACCCTCTAAGCCGTGACAGCTGCCTCTCATCCAGTGTAACTGAGCCAGTTCTGCCCCCCAGGAAGGGATGAACACCTTCAGGCCCAGCTGTGAACACGAGTGTCCTGATACCTTCCCTGCGAGGGGAGATTTACAGCTGGCCCAGCTGTGGAAGGGAGGACACTGGCATGATAGACAGCATTACTCCACCCCAGCAGCACCTGCTTCTCACTGGCCTTTCCCTTATCTGGCTCAAACCCAGCTTGTTGCTAAACAAAGGTCAGTTTGTTGTGGTCATCCTCTGGTGGTGGGTGCTAACTCTCCCTGCACCTGGGCTGCTCTTATGCAGATCAGAGAATTCCCACCACACACCCAAACCTCTCCTCCTGCCCTTTGGTCCAGGGGTGCAAACCTGGCCTCAGCAAAGCCCCTGCAGCTTTTCCAAATGGGCAATTGCTTGAGCCATTAACCATCAATGTTTCAGTCTCTCACAAGGCGAAGACCTTGTCAGAGATGATATGGAAAAGGCTGAAGTACTCAGCATTCCCTGTGCCTCAGCCTTTCAGGCAAAGTCTGCACCCAGACCTCTGCTTGTACCAGTGGTAGTTGGGAAGGACAGGGATAAGTAGGAGCAGGGCCAGCACCTGCTGAGAGACACTGGATGCACTCAAATGCACAGAGCCAGATGGGTTACACTCAAGGTTGCTAAGAGACACAGCTGACATGCTTGTCAGGCAAGTGTCTATTACCTATGAAAAACATTTATCACACAGTCTCCAACTGACTGGGAAAAGATTTACACGTGCTCATTTTTAAGAGAGGCAAAAGCAGTGCCTACATCCAGTCAGCACCATCTCAGTATCTGGAAAAATGCTCAGAGTTTGTCCCCTTAGCTGGGTGAAAGCTTAGAAAGCAATCAGGAAGATGTGACTCAGATTTACCAAGGGCAGGTGACGTTTGATAAATCCAAACAGCTACCGTGATGAAAGGTCTGGTCACGCAGCTAAGGGGACAGGATACAACACACCTTGAGTGTCCTGTGGCTCCTGCCACCAGCCCCTGAAGCACACACACCAGACCAGATGGATGGCTGGAGTGGCTGAAAACTTGTCAGGGCAGACATAATTGAAGACTTGATGGCTTCAAGTTTGCTTCACTTGTTGGCTGGAACAGTTAGGAATAACCTGGGGCTGATACAGGTCAATATATTTATCACTAACTTGGATGATGAGACAGAAGGTGTCCCTGTTCATGGCATGGTCGTTGGAACTGGGTGATCTTTGAGGACCCCTCTGGGCATTCTGTGATCAGCAAACTTGTGGATGATACTAGGTAAGAATAGTACAGCTCCCCTTGAAAAGGGAACTGTGAAACTGCAGGGCTGGAAAGCAGAAGCCTAATGACAGAGGTCTGCAGCTGGGACTGGCTTAATCCAGTGTGAACAACTGTCCTGTTCCAAGCACAAATTCTGACTGGATGGTGCTCAGAAGTGCCTTCCAGCCAACATATCTGTGATTTTAAATGTTCAAACAATATTCATGTATGAAAGATCAAACACTGACTGTCCATTCCCTTTCTAGTGGTAAAGGAAAGGTTCTGGATGGAGAATTTTATAAACTTTAATTAAACCTGTTTGTTCACAGGTTTATTTAAAAGCACATTAATCCCTCACACTTCTATGTATTCTACATAATACATCTCTAAAGAGTAAAGAAAGTGAAGGACTCTCATATTCACTGCAGTGGAAACACAGTGGGAAGCTTCAAAACCACACTTTCAAACAGCTATGACAGAGAAAGCTAAACTGTTATGCACAACATTCAAGGTTAGTCAGAACTACCCTTCAAGTGTAGGAACAGGTTCATAGAGAGCCAAGAGATATTTCTCATTCCTTGTAAATCTGCCTTTATTTTTCCTAAAATGTTAGCATAACTCTCTATCATATAACATCACCTATCAAATTATATTTATCCCCATGATGCAGTCCATTGCTTCTTTAAAGCATTAATATTTTACTTTCATTTAAATATATTTACATGCATTCTTTTAAGGCGTGTAATTTATTTTCAAAATGTTTTTCATCTCCAATCCCTTGAAATGGCACTGATCCAGCTTGTTGATAACTAATCAGGCCAACACTCTCTAGGATTTCACTAACAGCTGCACTGGATGGTCACTTAGTAATCTGTCCTGTTTGTAGTCTTGTATGAATGAAGCAGAGCTTCCATAAATTAGGCTGCTCAGAAATGGAATACATTTACAGTCATTACTCAAAATGCCCATTTTCAAGCATAAGAAATACTTCCTGCAGCTTTTAACTGTCCATAATTTTTAATAGTTTTTCAGCGTTTAATTCCACAGCAGCTTGCAACTTTTAAAAATGGAATTATTGAAGTCTTCTACCCCCAGTGAGCAAAATTACTCCAGAATTTTTTTCCACAGCATCACAGAGTACTTAAAGTATACTTAAGTGTTTAAGCAAACACTTTAGTACTTTCTGCATCAAATGTGTAGGCGACATTGACAACAAAAGTATTAACAATCTCAAAATATTTTAGGACAACAAAATACACATCTAATGAAGTCCCATTCTTCTACCTTGGCATATTATATGTAAACTCAAAGTGCTCAAAAATCAGTTTCTCAAATTAATGAGATCACTTTAAGATCTTGAATCTTTCTTATAGCACATCATGGTTATAGACATCTACATCTCCAACCAACCTGAAGTTCAATATCGATACATAATATTGGAAACAAAAGAAATGTTAGCCTAATTTTATAGTCACAGCTGAAAGACCCTGTTGATACAACTGCTTGAAGGCTGAGTCTCTATCCTAAATTAGAAATAACTCTTGAACCATAGTTCAAGAAACTTCTTCCATCTCTACTATCATCACTTTCCAATCATGAAAAACACAATAAAAATAATTTGCAATTTTTACTCTGCAACCAATGAATTCTTAAATGTCTTTTAATGAGTTCTGGTTCTCCCCTACCACACAGAAGTGTGACTCATGCCTTTACAAAATGTGAACATCTTTTCCCCCATCTGTCACCTCTGTGATTTTTTTTCACTCATCCAGCTCTTTGGCAATTCCCTGCCCGCCATGAAAGCGCTGTGCTTCAGCTTCCCAGGCTCCTGTCAGGTGGGATGTTCTCCCTTTATTCTCACCTTACCCAAGACAGTACAGGAACAGCCACTCCAAATATCCCCTTTTTTCTCCGAAGTTGGAAGGGGCCACAGTGGGTCCTATGGTCCAACCTCCCTGCTCAAGCAGGGCCATTTGAGAGAGTACAGTGCACAAGACTGCATCCAGATGGTTCAGGAATATCTCCAGTGAGAGAGCCTCCAGTACCTCTGGGCAATCTGTTCTAGTGCCTGGTCGCTCACACAATAAAGTTCTTCCTCACATTCAGGTGGAGCTTCCTGAACACCAGTTTCTGTCCACTGCCTCTTGTCCTAGTGGTTGGCACCCCCAAGAAGAGCCTGACTCCATCCTCTTGACACCCACCCTTTACATATTTTATAAACCTCCTTTCCTCCATGGAATGAAATGAGCACTACTTTTCTTGACTTCTTCCTCTCCTGACCTAAAACCAACGAGCCATTCATTCTCCATTCCCTCTGATCCACTGGCTCTGGGTTGAGTATCTGTTGAGATATATGTCTGCACCTCTTCTGACCCACAATCCCATGTCACTCTCTGAAGGGAAAACTACTTTTAGTTCACCCGCATCGCACTTAAGTGCAAATTACGAGGTAGGTTAATGCAAGAGAGTGCAGAGGGGGGCAGCAAGGGTACTGAGGCAAGCGGCACAGGAAGCCTTTTTTCAAAAGCTATCTCTCGGTAAAACACTCCTTTAGACAAACAGTCCTTCCTGCAAAAGTAATCAAAGAAAACAGTTTTCTCCCTTTTCCCAGGACTGAGGGGAACACGGTGAGCGCTGGTAGGAGGCGGGTGAGGCGGGGAAGAGGCGGCGGCAGCCTGTGCCCAGCTGGGCCGGGGCGGCACTGAGGCGGCCAAGGGGCAGGGGAAGCACACGGCTAAGGGGCAGGGCAGGGACAAGGGCAAGTGGCAGGGGAGGGACCAGGACAAGGTCGCAGCAGTGCCCGGCCGGTCCCCCGCAGCCCCTGGGATCGCAGGGCAAGACGCCAGGGCTGGAACCGGCAGCGCCATCGGCCGCAGAGGGCGGCCCGGCCACCGCTTCCGACCGGCGTGCGGGGCTCCCGCCGTGAGGAAAGGGCGAGCCAGGAGGACGCGAACGCGCTGCCCGTCAGCCCGCCGGCCCTCACCCTCACCCTCCCCCTCCTGTCCCCCCACTCCCTCCTCCCCAGCCGAACCCTCCCTGGGATCCCGGGATCCCCAGCCCGCTCCCCACCACCCCTACCCGCCGCCGCATCACGTCACGGGGAGCGCCGCCCTCGTGCCCCGTCAGGCGCCGCCTCTTCCCGTCCGCCCCGGCCCGGCTCCGCCGTTCCCTGGCGGCATGGCCGTGTTCCACGACGAGGTGGAGATCGAGGACTTTGAGTACGACGAGGAGACCGGGACCTACAGCTACCCGTGCCCCTGCGGAGACCGATTTCTCATCACGCGGGTGAGGGGCGGCCGGGTGGGGCTGGGGGGAGAACAGGGTGCTGCGGCCCGGGGGCCGGGCAGGCGGCGGGGCCTGACCGCTCTCCCGGCCTTTTGCAGGAGGACCTGGAGAACGGCGAGGACGTGGCCACCTGCCCCAGCTGCTCCCTGATCCTGCGCGTCATTTACGACCAGGTGGGTGCGGAGGGAGGACAGGCGGACACGGTTCCAGCCGGGTCCCTCCGAGTCACGCTTCGCCGCCCCGTGTGGGAAGCGCGGGGCAGCGTTAAAAAATGCCTGGTTTGGAGCTACATCTGCTGCCTGATCTCTCGTTTTTCTGGTCTCCTCCTGCCGTGTTTGGGCTTAAAAAGACGCCTCTGCCTGTTGGGGCAGGATGCAGACGGGATGAAATCAGTGATGTGAAGAGCTCCTGTGGCTGACTCCAGCAGCCCTGGCAGCTCTTCTCGCCTCGTAGGCGCGTTACGGCTTTTGTGTTTTGGGAGACAGATCCGTGCTATAATCACTCTGTTTTCTAGCCTGGGTGTATGTGATGTTTGTGAGGTAGAGGAGATTAAAAAAAGAATGTAAATCGCCTAAATTCCTGCTTGCTGTCTTTAGGAGCAGTTCATGCGGGATGAAGTCGTGGCAGAACCTTTGCCAAACAAGGAATTGGTCAAGTGCTGATGAATGCATCGTGGACTGTGCGGCTTTGGGATGAGAAAGTATGGGAATGGTGACTGCAGAAAGAGTTGTGCTTCTTCGGGAAGTGCGTGTTGCTGTGGGATACAAGTGCAATAATTGTCTGTCTTCTTAACAAGAAAGAGAGTTTGCTGGGACATTAAACACATGAATGCGTTTTGTTCCAAAGGGTTATACTTAAAAAAAAAAATAGAAGTTGGTCTATGTATTCCTCCCGAAGACTTGAGGATTATGTTCCTGATTAAGTCAATACACAGAAGAAGAACGTGGAGCTGGGAAATGATAACATTTAGTCTGGCAGTGGCTTCTTAGCCTGTGGAGAAAAACTGGCTTTATGTGGGTATATGAGGGTGTGACATGGCACAGAGAGCTGAAATGTTGGGAGGTGAGATTTAGGAATCCATAGAACACAATGCCATACAGAGTTAACACAGTGCAGCTTCTCCCAGCTTGTGGGCTCATGTACGTTAGCCCATACTGAATATCGGGAGAAAACAAGAGACCCAGAGCCAACATTTACCCAGTGCTGGTAAATTGTATGTTGGTAAATTGACTTTACTCCTGTAAACACAGGGAAAGTGCATTGTCTGTGTATCTGCACAGACATTGCATTGGGGCAGATGTGTTTCTTAAATTGCTTCTGAAGTTGCTTTGAAAGAACCTTGGTAGTTGTTACTAAATGCCTCTGACATAACAGTGATACACGTTTGAGGGTGTTATGTGAAATGGAGTCAACCTTTTTTTTAACCCCTGCACAGCTGCTAAGGTGCAGGACTGGAAGTTGAAGTGGGTTGTATTTTACCCCTATATTCTCAACAACTTTGTGATTTGACTGTTGCAGTAGATATAAAATGGGCTGCAGTTCTTTGTGCCATCTGTAGTAAATTTCTCAGTCTTTCTTTATTAGATTCTGTCACTTTTAGGATAGGAGATGGATACATTTCACTTAATTAATAAAGGCATTTTTTAGGGTAGAAAAGAGTCATGAGAACATACTCCACATTGACTCCAAGACGGCCTCTTGAATTACAAGCGACTGCACTTGAATATTTACTTAATATTTACAGTCCTGTGTTTTAATAGGATTTGACATCTGTGAAGTTAAATTTGGGGAAAAATACCTGTGAAGAGTTTATGTAGCTATTTTGCTCCAGGCACTAAAGATAAGCAAGTTTTATTGGATTCTTGCTTTTAGTTATTTTTGTTCTTACAGCATTCTGTGAATGTTGAAGATGAACATTCTAGGGACTTTAAGAAAAGGAGTGGGAAAAAACCCCTTACATCTAGTTGGAAGTTTGGAATGCAGTAAGCACAACCCAGAGTGTTTCCATGCCTAAACCAGGAGGTGGCACTCATGTTCCTTTGACATATGTGCTTAAAAAAGTAAATGTTGTGGTACTTTGGTTAGCTATGCCTTATCAAATATTTATTTTGACTATTTAAATAAAGATGTTTAAGATTCCATCACTGGTTATAATGGGCCATTACTTATCCTGTTTCTGCACCAGCCATAATGATTTCCAGAGGTCTTGAGTTGCTGCTGTTGGGTGATGGTAGTGGAGGTTTTTCAGGCTGGTTAATAAAAATAATTTCAATCTATGAGTAGATGCTGTAAAGCAAACTTACAGGAACCCTGCCTAAGCCCCTGTTCAAATTTGTGTTGCATAAATACCTTCATGATTTTTCCACAAGTATTCTACATCAAAGGAATTGGAGCAATTTTCAAATGCAAGACCAGGGAATGTATGCTCTGATCTAATGTATCAAAGTAAGTTGCCATGTGTATCATCTCTAAAAGTACACAGATTTTGCAGAAATCATTGACCTGATGTTGTTATATAATGAAGGTCAGGCCCTTTCTGACTTAGGAAACTTGTGTAGAGAATTATTTGTACTCTATATGGTTAAATTCCAACATGGTTGTAAAAACCATGAATCAATTAAATTTTACTTGGCTTGTAACAAGTAAACATGGCATGTAACAGGTTTTTAATTGAAACTTAGTAGTGTTTCCCACTCATCTGAAATACAGGTAATGGCTTTTCAAAAACTAATTTTAGCAGAATTAATTTGTTCATTACATCAGTTGGGACTGTCAGGGCTTGAAGTTTCTTACCTGGTGTGAATAGGGTCCAAGTTGTGGAATGCAATTTACGTGCACATTAAAATTACTTGATCACATGGTGTATGTATGTAAAGCTTTAACAAAGTGTTTGCATACCTATGTGGTTTTTATTGTGTACTTATGCATAAGAACAGAAAGATGTTGTGGCTGACTTAGAAAAGGATGTGGCCACATTTGCCCACTTAAATTCCTTCAAACTCTTGTCTCATTGCAGGATCTCAAGACAGTAGTTGACATCCCCTCCAAAAAGGAGGCAAAACAAGCATGGGTATCATGTTTCTCTCTTTTTGTTGCCCTTTGATAATCTGAGAGACATTTAAAAACTGTTGAGCTGTTCTGTTGTTTTCCCTTCTGCTCTGCAGAGATGAGCTCTGGAGCAAGAGTTCATCCTTCATGAAAGCTCAGTAATGCTGAAGCCAAAGTGTTGCCCGCTTTTGTCTTTTATTAACTTGCAAGAAGCTTTTCATTCCAGTGATTGCAGTCATCTTTTAAAAATATTCTTTCATACTGTGTCATTCCAGAACACCAGCCAGGGCAGTGTGAGTAACCCATCAGAAATGTCCCTTGTCAGGAATTCAGTCACAAGGTTTCCTCACAGCACCACAGGCTCTGGCCCATCACACATTACTTGTGTATTACATGCTCTTACAAACCAATAGCTCACTTTTTTTCTCAAAAGGCAATTGTGTAGGACACAAAGAAGTCTTGTTTGCTGCTTGTATCTGACAAGCAGATTGATTGATTATGTGTTTGATTAGGTCCGTGGGTCTGCACAGAGGAGGCCAGTGTGGTGAAAACAGCATCATGTGAATGTTAATGGAATAATTCATACTTGGTAGAGACTAGAGAGGGTGAAACAATTTATGGGCAGTTTCAGATACTCAAGCTGTGAAATTTCTCATACTGTTGAACACCTCTGAGCTCCTGTGTAACACTGAGAACAAGCAATACACTGTTGCCACAATTTTATGGGAAGAAATGGAAGATAATTTGCTCTTCATTAAACTAAAGAGGCTTAGCTTCCCTGATACCTCAGATTCTTGTTTGCATTTCAAAGAAACTTGCTGAGAAGGTCATGTACTTTTGGCTCATTGTGCCTGTATATCAGTGGTGTACATGATTAGTTTTGAATAGTTGCTCTAGAAGTCTGTGACACAGAGCCACCAAGAGCTAAGGTCATTAGGCCACTAATTTTGCTGTTCCACTTGTTTCATTGTCCATATATGAGGGAAGTCCTAGTGTCCCAGAGGACCCTTTCTAAGTACCTTGACATTTCTTCCCTCCATCACAGTTTTTAATTGTGATTCTCAGCACCCATCAAAAAAAAAAACCCAAAAAACAAACAGGAAGGTGTTCCTTGCAGAGCGACAGAATTAAAGATCATTACATGGATTACCAAGTCTTCTATCAAGAAGCAGATACTGATTAATTTCAAATAAACTGGCAAAATTTCATGTTAGTGAAATGACAACTATGTACTGTCACGAAGACAAGCAGTTTCTGCATGTTCCATTTCCATCTCCATCTCTTCCAATATAGCACTCAGATCATGCTAACTGTAGGGATAAGTATTTGTAACACTGAAAACTTCTTGAAATGTTTTTTAAAATAGGATTTATCAAGGTATTTGGTGCAATAATTAAAGCTTGCCGTGAATTTTCTCCTAGCAGTTTTATGTGGATTGCTTTGATTCTGCTTCAAGGTAACTTAAAATGCTAATTTCTTAATGTCTCTCCATGGCATGGAGCAGACAGGGAGGATCCTGTGAAGATGCTGTGCTCACGAGGCCTGAAACTGGTCAAACCTGTTGAGTGACAGAGGCTGTGCCAAGAGGGAAAGCAGCTGTCACAGTGTCACCTGTGGTCAGGGAGGAAGCGGGTCAAAAGGGACCAACCAAAAGGGCTGACTAACCTTCCCACCTTAAGTGATCCATCATCACTCCTTCCCACCCCTTGCTGTCACCATTTTGAGCTGTTTGCACACGAGGTGACCTCTCCAAAATTCTTGGCAGCTCACCAGTCCAGCGCAGCTTTCCTGTCATGTGGAAAGTCACTGCCGTGCCATTGACGCTGTCAGTGAGCGCAGCCAGCCAAGAGAAGCTCGCTCTGAAGGCACGGTGGTGTGTGAAGGTCAGAGCAGAGCTGCCCCATCCAGGGGTGGTCATTTTTCATTTTTATGTCAAAACAGAAGTCCTTATCTTGTTGTTTGAATGCTGAAGCTGTTCCTTTAGGGAAAGATCCAGCTATCAAGACTAAGGGTAAAATCAACAGGAGCTGGCAATGAGTCACTTCTTCTGTCACCTATTCAGGCCGTTTCTTGCTCCATGGCAAACGGCTTTATTTTGGTCTCAGTTGTCCTTCTGGACAAATCAGAGGACAACTTTTTGACACATTCAGTACTTCAAGTAAAAGATTTCTATCCACAGGAACACTAAATAGCTACACCACTTCTTAGCATGATTTTTATGTATGTACTCCTGTGGTGTTTACACAAAATACAAATTTCTGGTATACTTTTAGTAACAATGACTATTTCATACTGCCTAGAAAAAAATTACTATTTTCAAGCAGGTTTTTTTTTTTTTAATTTTCCAAATATCTCAAAAAAGATATTAACAGTTTTTATTTCTGCATACCTCTGTTAATAGGTCTGTTGTTGATTCTTTCCATGAAAATTGTGTACACATGCAATGCAATACCATCTTAAGGTATTTGGTTTTAGACAATAGCAAAACTGCAGCATAAATTTATCATTTTTATCACTATAACGGATTAGAAGTGATTTTGTAGGCTGTGATGGGTTTTAAGGTTATTGTTCATTCAATTACAAAATGTATTGTTCATACATTACCAAGAAAAGTAGACAAAACATAAGCTCCTACTTATCCTATTTTTTCACTTATTAGGGTAGAACACATCTGACTTTTTTATTATATAGAGGCTTCTGTGGCCCCCAGTGCACTGCACAGGTATTCCTACACTGATGCATTCTGGCATTCATCCCTTAGCTAGAACCAGATTTTGGATTTAGATATGTAAACAGTCCAGAGGCAGAAATCCTGTCGGTCTCACAGTCCCTTTCTTGCACAACTACTCAAGAGGGCCATTTCAGAGGCAGTAAGGAAAGCTCCTGTCCTGGAGGCTAAGCTGAGCTGTGGCAGCAAAATATGTCAGTGCATCAGAGCAGGACTGACTGTCCCAGGGCAGACCAAGGGACTTCTTGGTCCCATCCCATCCCCAGCGCTGCCCAGGAGCTACTGAAGAGTCCATGACCAGGGCAAGCATTTGGGGATACTTACCTACAACCCTCCCACACAATCTGAAAGTTATGGACTTCTTGAGACTGATGCATTGTTGTTAAATACCATGAAAAATATATATATTTCCAGTTTTCTGCTTTCAGCTCTCTATCCTACTGAGGACTGTTAGGGGTTTTTTTTTCTTATTTTTCTGCATCATTTTTGAAAGGGAAATAAGAACTGTGCACAATTCTAGACATGGATGTATCATGCATACATTTGCATAGTGATATTTATTCTCTGTCTGCTCTCTGTTTTCCAAAAATTCCTAATATGATGTTGTTTTATGAGACTTGGAGAGCACTGGGCTGACATTATCTTAGAACTTATGTTTAACTAAGGAAATAACTTTTTAGAATCTAAGCCTTAGAATAACCTTGTCTTTCTCCTCCTGTCTCTTGCTTATGGCTTAGGTGGTTTTTAGAAGACAAGGTGATCTAAGGTACCATGGATTTAGGTAGTTTTTCTGCTAAGTCCCTCCCACAACCTCCTCCTTATGGCTTAGGTGGTTTTTAGAAGACAAGGTGATCTAAGGTACCATGGATTTAGTTTTTCTGCTAGTCCCTCCCACAACCTCCTAACAGCAGCTGATGAAGGCGTGCAAGCTCTATGCACTTTGGTAGGACTGTCCCAAACTGGTTTATCTTCACTCCTGCATCATTTAACTGGGTTTATTTGTTTAATTTTGTGATGTGTTACTTCTCTTGCATGTTCATTTTATTTAGCTGTATTGCACTTCTTACATGACTTCATCTTTTCCTTCAAAGCTGCACATGTGTGCCTCTTGTATTTCCTTGTCTTTGCTACAGTGGCTTTCCTGAGGGGTATCTGAGTTTTCTGGGCAGTCAAGCCTTCTATTTGAGTGGATGTAGTTTTTCAATGTGAGATTTCTTTTTGTTTTGAATACACTGTATTTAATTTCCTCAAAGAAGTGGGGATACTGCCCAAGATGCACATACAAAATAGTGTGCTTTTTGAAAAGAAAAAGAATATTTTCTTTCATTCAAATCTACTATTTCCTTGTAACTATTTCCTAGTATT